GGACACGCGAAGCGACGAAGTTGAAATAGATGTTCGCGTCAAAGTCGAGGAAGCATGCGCAGGAGAAATATTTCAGGCGGGGTACAAGACGCGAATTGGGGTCGGGGGTCAAAGTGAGACGTCGAAGAAGAGAGTCTGTAACGAGATTGTGGTCTTGGTCTGCGATCAATAGACGTTCGAGGGACGTCAATGAGGCAAGGGAATGGATGAGGTCGTCTTCCGTGAGTGTTATGTGGCGGATATCGAGGGATAGGAGCGTGTCGGAGAATGAGGAGCGAAGAGAAAGTGCCAAAAATTGGCTCAACGGCCAAGAAAGTAAGCGGAACCCGTTGCGGAGGAAACACAATTCACGTAGGCGGGGTAACGTTAGGGAACCTAAAATTGCACCCAGAAGTCGTGGAGTGCGGTGTGAATCCGAGTTGAAGATCGACTCTATTTCGATTGTAAAGGAGATGATCGTGGATGTTACGGATGGCAAATCGAGTAGGATGGGGTGATAGTTTTTATTGACGTGTCGAAGCGCAAACGCTGCTTCAGGGTGGGGCACCTTGCGTGTCAAGTCCAACAAAGAGCCGATGTCGTTAACGTCATAGGCGTCGTAAGTGAAAGATACTAATTGGTTCCAGGGAAGATTGGGGTACTGTCGTGGATTAACTGCACCGAGGGAAACGTTAGTCAATCTCGGCGCAGTTTCAAAAACGTTGTTATATCGTGGATCGGTGGCGCGCCCTCGTCCGACTCGATCATTAACGAAAGCGTTTGAAGTGCGGCGAGATTTCCCTGCACACTGGAAATGTGCTCCAAGTGCGAACCAGGCACACATAAATCCACATGCCGCCACCGTTGGGAATGCTGCGCAAGAAGGCGAAGGATCACACCATCTACATCACGAATATACGGCCCGCTGTAGAACCGGATTGACAATGGCGAGTCTGCTCCGCGTTCGAGAGATGTGTCCAGAAGATCTAGAAACGGGGCGCATTCACCCGCTTTTTTAGGCCAGCACCTCGCATGCACGGCAATGTGCGACCACAGGCTGGGGGTACCCATGATTAGTCTGTGCCAGTGACAGCAGACTTGGGAAAGACGCAATAGATCGAATTTAGCCAAAACATGAAGCTCTTCCAATCGATTGTTCGCTTCCCTAGAGGGTACCAACGAGAACGGCGCGAATATCTGGCCCAAAATCTCCGGTGGCAACTGCCGAACGGGAGCCAAGGCAGACCGACATCCATCGAGGTAGTCCTGGACATCCAAGCGATCCGCATTCAGAGCTTGTAGGGCTTTTTCAAGTCTCTCGATTTCGGCATCGTACTGCGAGAGAATCAGCGTCGAGGAAGCGATTTGAGAGCGATAGTGGGATGGGTCGGACGGAAATTGTGAGGATCTGAGAAGGTCTCGTAGAGAGTCAGTCTGCACTAGCGTAGGGAGTGCGGCAGGAGGAACAAGAGGAGCGTTGCAGGATTCGCACAACATGGTGGTGAGAATTTAGAAAGCAGGCATGACCCAAACGTGACCTCGACGTGACAGCCTAAGCTCACGTCCCCCAGAAAATACACTCGCAAACAACTCGCAAAGACCAGCTCCCAACCAGCTCCTCAACAGCTCCTTCACCCTCGACGATTTTGTGCGAATCTTGCCAGGTCCCTCTTTTCTCCTCCCCCGCGCTCCCCACAGAAACACAAACCTCAGCCCTTCTCGACTTCCTCAGAACTATCCATCTTACTAAGTACTTAGACTTCCGTCCAACCCAAGTCCAACCCGTCAACTCCTACTATCACTCCCAGATCACTGCAGCGACAACCGAAATCCAGAGGTTGGAACACACCCTCCACGCTCTGATTTTGCAGCGCTCGAAGATTCAGGACTATGTGGACGGATGTCGGGTGGCTGTGGCGCCCATTCGGCGGTTGCCAGGAGGTTTTGGGCTAGATATTCGCACCATTCTCCTTACAACGATGGACACTCCCAGGGAAGAAATAGAAAATCTGGCCAAATCTCAGTTACTAACTCTTGCCCAAGTGTGCTCGCGTTGGCACACGGACGCCCCCTGCTTTTGGTCCCAGACTCCGACTCCCACATCGCGGTGTTTTTTCCCCACTGGTCCAGGACTACTAACGTTGTAGATGAATCCAATCCGTTTTTGTCTCCTGAAGACAGCCCTCGAGCGCTCAGCAGCCTACCCACTATCCATTTCGTTCCGGGACGGACTCCAACGTTCTACCCTCCACCGATTCATCCTGACACTTCTGGCAAAGCCAACAGTTGGACTTACGCTCGGCGTCCGATTCTTCGCTTCTAGCAGACATCTCAGAAGCTGAGGGGAAGCTTAATTCCCTCCAGCTTCTTTATTGGAGGTTCAGGAACGACCCGTCGGTTAAAGACATCAGCATTTTTGCAAATGTGCCGAGATTGACCAAGGTTAACATCTGCACTCCCGACCCGCGATCTTGCCCTCGGCCCTGGAACCGGCTGGATTTTTTCTCCTACAATTGCAACTCCTACTACGATCCCCTCGCCGCGGCGGACATCCTAGTTTTACTCGCCTTAATGCGGAATATGACCCACCCGGCAGCATTCGAACTGCGTCGCTTTTATCCCCACTGGCCACTCCGTGGGAACTGCCAGCAGTCCCCCCAAACATTACGTCGTTCCTCCTCGAAACTTGCAGAGCGGACGAGGCGCCAACTATGCAAGCCCTGGGCGAAATTTTGTCCTGATTGACCCTTTCCCACCTAATACGTGAATCGAGTTTCCTTCGCTTCAATTCGATACGGGGTCCTCGATGACCTGGCGACGAATTTATGGCCCTCTCTCCCCGCTCCTCATTCTGCGACACGCTCTGTTTCCTCGATATCCGCCACGTAACAATCACAGAGGATGAGCTCGTCCGTTCCATCACCCCACTGATGTCACTTGAACGTCTCATCATATCGGATCAGCCGCGGGCTAAGTATACTCTGGTCACGGACACCCTGCTTTCTGGACTTATTTTGACATCCGACTCGGACCAGACGCCGTCTTTTGTCCCTCACCTCAACTACATCGCCCGCAGCTCGTTGTTCAAGTTCAGCGCGCAGGTTTATTTGGATTTCATCACTTCGCGCATAGTCCCCGGCATGGCGCGATTCCCCAGCGTTCTCCGCCAGTTCGACTCTACAGTCCATCAAAAGCTACTCGATCTCGTAGGAACTGGCGCGCTTAAATTCCAGCTTGAAGAGGACATCGAGGAGGAGTAGAGTCAAAGTGAGTTCCATTCCGCTGTATCGTCTCAATAGCGGCTGTAGACGGGATTTAGAGCTCGGAATTCTTTTTAAGAAATAATGTGCACGTGCTTATTCTCCCTCCGCCACTTGGCCAGGGCTTAGAGTAGGATGTAGAGGTGGAAAACGAAAGGTAATCGGAGTAACATATCAAGACCTGTACAGCGTAAGCACGCAATCGGAGTTATTGGAAGTTCAAGCTGCCCGACTTGAACGAAAGAATTGACCAGCGGGAACAAGAAAGGATGGAAGAGGGAACACAACGAACAGGCCCTGAAAGGGGTTCCCCCACTGAATGATGCAATGTGGGTGCGGATCATAAGCCACCTGACGCTCCTCACACTGTTCACTGCCTTGCCATGGGATGAAGCTTCAAACAGGGTTGCGTTGGTTGGTGTTGAGGCCTGAATAAATCCAATGATGGTCGTTGAAGACGGACTGGAATTCAACTTTCGCGCTTGCCTGGGATCCTCCTATAAGAGTATAATGTATGAATTGATACGCTGACATGAGAGAAAAAAGGAGAGAGAGTAAAATAAAAAGGACGTTGTACATCGACACACGACCGGGCTCCGAGTCGAACGGGCTGCTTTCACTGTTGCAGAAACTTCTGAACATGGGAAATGGGTGCGGACCATCCGCCATCCAGCCTTGCACCCTCTATTTCATATCTGCGTGTTGTATGATGGAAATGTTGGCCTACTCGGAAGGAATACAATTGTTGCCGACAGTCACTTGAACGCAGGTTTATTCCTCATCCCATTCGTCGCAAGGGATTTCCGCAGCATGTCTCCATACCTGTCTACGGAAGCGGCATAAAAATGCAAACCAACACAAACTTCGAACGATGAAAAGACCCGACCCCGAATCGAACGGGTAGCTCTAGTCTGTACTCAGCCAGTGGTCGCAGGGAAGGATTGGACCAGCTGCGCTGGCAGCGGTCCTCGACCATCTCGAACTCTCGGCCTCGAGACCAGAGACGGCGGCTCCAGGGTTTTTACTGTATGCAGTGACTCAGCAGCAAGGAGTCAAACTTACGATTGGATATGTCCCGCTCTCGAGCGTATTAGGAATTAATTTCCATTCCGCTCTGAATACCGCGAGGATGAGAGGTTTCCTCAGTAACCGAACCCCGGCCCCAGAGTTCCTTTAGACAGTCTTGAGGAGTACATGTACGATAAACTTACAATTCTGCAGTGCGCGCTGGTTCAACCTGGTCTTACAGTAGCAGGATTTGGCCTTTTGCTTCTGGGAAAATCAACTTGATTGCTGCCTATACTGATAGCGGGAGCGGTGATGAGTTCAACTAGAGGCCGTCCGAACCGAATATCAATTCCAAATTTCAAGTTCAACCAAGATTCAGCTGACGACTGATTTCCGGTCAAGAGACTAGGCCTGCTCTCAACGGGTGTGGAGCGGTTTCGATGATATTCAGAACACTTCGCTTGAGGAACCCTCGCCATCTGGGAGCCACTGGGACGAACATGAACTGGCAATGGACAGTGCAAGACAACACGCGCAAACAACCGCTCGCGGCCCCATTGGGTAATTTTGGCCGAGCACTTAAACACTCTTCTTCCTCTGCTGCGATTCCCAACCCAACCAATATTCATCTCTCACCCTTCCCATCATTGCGACCAGCTCATGAACCACCTTGAAACATCAAGTACCTAATCGATGATCATCAAATGATCGATAAGATATTCCGTGAGCCTTAAAGACCGGCGCAAAAAGCAGTGGACGCATTGGGAATTGAACCCAACACCTCTCGCAACCGGATCCTTTGGATGCTAAGCGAGCGTGATAACCAACTACACCATGCGCCCGATGAATGAGAAGGCAGCCACGGTACTGTGACCTTTATCACTCTTGGCATAGCAAAGTTCTTCCAGTGCCCAATCATTCACATGGGAAGGAAATACTTCCCTGGTCGTCTAGAAGCGTTACAGAAACTATAAGTTCCAGAAACAGGCAAACTGCAACTGAAACTATGAGTTTCAGGTGCACTTTATGTACTGCTGACACTTAAGGTTCCCGGGGCCTCCTATATTCAGGAGTACTCTTTCTAACTGCTCTCCTACACCATTATCAAATGCCGATACAGGTTTAACGTGCCGGCGGTCAAGATATTGGGGGGGAAAAAGCAACGGAAGACAAGAACGGCTGGTCCCGAATCGGACCGGAGTCCCACTATAATGACTGATGGAAAGCCCTCTAGCATGTTGAGTGAGCGCGGCCCATCCGCTACCAGGTCTTTCCTTCTACTTTCGGGCACCTTGTTTGGTTGGTTGAATTTTCAAGGGCAAAGTGACGGGGCTGGCTGATGAGAGAGAATCAGATCGACGCGAAGCTGCCTTATGTCGAAGAAATTGGGCCATTTTTATTCAGGTGCCAGTCATGGTAGAGCAGAGTTAAAGTTTGGAATGACGAGACGTACAGTGAAGTTCTTTGGCTCGTTGACAAAGAAAGAAAATTAAAGAGAGAAGCAAAAATATACAAGAAGGCACGCATGGTCGAGTCGCGTCCAGACTCGAACGGGAGTCCGGCTGTGGACTTGAAATTCTAAAGGCCTACGGAGAGTGGTTGCGGACCATCCGCTACCAGGCCTTGCAGCGTAAATTTGGCTACCCTATAGGCTAGGTCAATATTAAAACAAGGCGAACCATGAGAACGGAGCGAGTACGAACACACGTTGAACCATTGGAGTCACGTCGATTTTCACGATGGTGGAGAATTGCACTTTGACTTACATTGGCGAGGATGTTGAACCTCCTAACCGACACCTTTCTAAAGAGCAAAGAAAGAAAGAAAAAAACGCGGCACGAATCGAAGGGGCGTCCCACTGAGATCTGACCGATGAACGTTCTATGTTGAGTGCCCGGGTGCGGACCACCCGCTACCACACCGTCCCTGTTAACCGGCGAGTTTTGCCAAGGAGGTTTGTGTTCGCGAGTGAGGGGTGAATGCATAGGTCGTGGAGAAAAGAATATCGTTGAGGGAAATGGTAGTGGACTGGAAGTTCGGCGCGTTCAAAAATAACAGTAACCTCGCGTTCAAAGAAAGTCAAGGTCGCTCAAGTGACACATTGGATTGATTGTTCAAGACCGAAATCTACAGCAGTCGACAGTTAAGGCGCTCTTGGTCGACCCAGAGGGCCTCCAGCTCGAACCCCAGCGGCAAGGGGACGCCAGGACGTCGGTCCTCGTTCGGGATGTATCCACGTATCTACGCAGCCCAAGCGTGGTGCACATTCTTTACACCTTGCCCAAGAAAACGCCAGTCCCATGCGTTCCAGCGGCATCCCAGATCCGAACAGTAGACCCCCACGCACATGGGCGAAGGCCGCTGAACATTTCTCAGCCTGGGGAGCATTACAAGGCACACGGCACGAATGGCTGCAAGCCCGATTTTCGGACGACCCCAGCTTTCTATGAAAGGCGGCCGAGGGGCCCAAGACAGGTCACAGCTGCACTCGCCCGAGGCTCTCCCGTATAGGTAGCCGCAGGCCAGCGAATCAATGGGGGGAATTGTAAGAGGAGTGCCCAGCCGTCGCCAGCTAGGCATACTGAATCGAGCGTGTGGACTGGGCGATGTGATGAGCAAATGTCCAATTTATGCATAGAAGCCTTGCTCAGTGAAATATTGCTGCTCCCTTGCTCCTGTGGAACTCGCTGAGTGACCATTATAAGAGAGAGCTCTGGAAACCGACCTGCGCGGCATGAACGACGATCACGCCCCGTTCGTTACATGGCGGGGCTCTGAAAGCGAAACTGTCAGTTGATAGATGGATGCATAGCATAGGAACTACTAACCAACGAAGAAGAAATAGTCAAGTCTTGAGTCTGGGCGACATGATGGGCGAGCAAGGAATGCATAAGAGCGGGACTCGTCGGGTCGCAATAATGCTGGCGGCAGGACGCTAGAAGGGATGACAGGGGATAAGTCACGGCGAGGATTAGAAACGGAGGGAGCTAACCTGCATGGTGGTGGTACGAGGTGGTACGGAGGAAAGAGAGGTGTGGCTGACATCACCCTAACAACATAGCTTGCGCAAACAAGTACAACGAGACGCGACGCGTTCAGATCCGGCTTTTTCAAGTTCCATACTCCAGGTATTTTGAACAATTCCGGAATGAAACTAAATCTATCCGCCGTCTTGCTTGGGCTACGAGGAGCATCGAAGGTATGCGTATGCCAGCTTCAGAGTCAAATGGGAGGCTGGCAAGGTGGTTTTCACTCTGAAGAATTGGGATTCGATACGTTGTTTACAGAGCACACCGTACGGTGGCCGAAATAACGTACTCCTACTCGTGACGCTGAAGTGTCAATTCAAGCCTATGTTGCATCGGTACTTGCTTCAACGCGTGCCCGCAAATACAGAAAATGTTGCCGCACTACGCCAAGGCGGGAGGGTATGCCCCCTCGGTGAGTCAACATTCCTTCCAAAAAGTATCGTTTGTGGATCTCCTTGCCTGTTTTCCAGACTTGAACCGTGGAATTTCGGATTGATGGTTTAATTTTTTAATTTTCTTGCTTTTTGTAAACAGATTTTACGTTCGAGCATGACAGGCGGGTATTTTCATGCACCTGATTCTCATCAATAAAGCTGGTGGAGTGGGAGTTCTTTCTTGCATGGGACATGAACAGGATGGAAATTGAGCCCCGCAAGACAAAAATGCAAAAATGCTTGCCGAGACAAGAATTGCCTGTCCGAATCGAACTCACTTTTGAGTGTGGCAATAGATTGTGGAATGTGCTGTGGACGCATACCATCCGCTACCAAGCCTGTCTGAATTACTTCATACGAACGAGGAAGTTATTACAACCCTTGAATGAAAATTCGTTGCATTTTTCATTTTTTTCGTCTACTTACCTGGTGAGAGGAAAAGACAAGAAAACCCGAACGCCGGATCGACAAGGCCCAAGCCCGGATCGAACGGGAATCCCACTGTAGCTATGGCTGCAAGATGTACGATACTATGGGTGGGTGCGGACCATCCGCTACCTGGCCTTCCTGAGAAACTTCGAGTCCTCTTTATGCGTTCACTTGAACAAAGTTTCATCGCGCTCACCTCAATGCGATCCCGATGCGAAGTGTCGAGGTCGCGTTGGTGTCCTGCGAGTAAATGTGAGCAAAAGAGGTACATGCGACCCTTCAACGTGCAGCTGGAATGAGAGTTTTCTCGTGTTTTAGAAAAAGGACATAACACAAAAAGTTGGGACTCCCCACCAAAGAAAGGCCCAGTTCCGAATCGAACGGGTTATCCACTTGCCAGAAGATATAGATCTTGCCAAATCACTGCGTTCCGGGGCCCTCGAGACAGAGGGTGCGTCGCGACGCTGCGACACACCGCAACACAGACCGTGTGTTTAGGTACATCTCCAGCAGTGTTTATTGTTGTAAAAGTGAGATACAGGTCTCTGGTGCTTCAGAAGTATTTGTTTGATCATTCCTGACAGGACAGAGAGAACAATGTCCCAAAATAAACGCGGTGGGCGGCGGTTCTGGGCCTCGGAGCACATCGGAAAGTTTAAACCTCGGCTTCGCCGTTTATTATTAGTTTTGAACCCAAAATGAACTAAATTTGCCCACGGTTTCCATGAGGCATTTGGCTGTGCCAAAAATAAGCCATAGGATAAGCACCAGAGACGTTTTGGGTATCTGGGGTGTGGCTCGAGGTCCGGAGACACAGGTGGGCCGAGACAACCGCGCCAAGGGCTCAGTAAAGGGAGACGAAAGTGTGTCGATGTTATCGAGACAGACTGTGTTTCGTTAACTAGACACATATCAATAGCCGGCCACAGCGTCTGTCTCCGCGGCCCGGGAACGCAGTGAATGTCTATAGACGCGGACCATCCGCCACCGGGCCTTTCTGATTTAATTCGAGTACCAGAATAACTGAATTGAATCAAGATTATTATGTGCTCACCTTGGTGCCACCAGAGTCGATCCCGATGATGGGAAGGTCGAAGATGCTGAACAGGTCGAGGCGGAGTCAGCGTCTTGGGATTGAATTCATACGAATGGGGAAGTTACAACTCTTGGAGAATGATATTCCGTTGGAGAGGCAGCTTTGTCGTTTACCAGCTGAAAGAAAGAAAGAAAAGGTCATTCACGCGTTATGGCCTACTTCAGAATCGAACAAGAATCCCACTGGGACAATCCCATTCACGATGGCGAGTTCACTTGGAACAACTTTTCAGTTTTCGCACTCTCTCAAAATTACTACGACACCCCGTGCCGCAAGTTCTGATGCCTTGGTCGATGTTGCAACTGAAATTCAAGTTTCCTCGGAATTTGACGGGCGAGAAAGAGAAGAAGAAAAAACACACAAAAAGCTTCTAGTTCCCCAACGAAGGCCTGGTCCGAATCGAACGGGTTCAATATCCACTTGTCAGTGTGGTAAACGGACGGCAGGATGTCCTGTGGACGCGGATCATTGGCTACTAGGCCTCTATGAATCACTTCGAGTATTGACTGCACTGAAATGAATCACGATTATTTTAAATTTTGTGCTTACCTTGGTGCCAGAGTCGGTCCGGATGTTGAACATGGGCGACGCCGAGAGCTGAATCAACCTGTTGGGATTGAATGTGTACAACCGGCGCAGATACAAACCTTGTAAGACATTTCGCTGGAGGTGCAGCTTGTCTGCTAATGAGTGAAAAGAAAAGCAAAGAAACACGATGACAGGTGATGACCCACCCCCGATTCGAACGGGAATCCCACAGTAACTTCGCGCGGTCGAAGCAGAAAATTGTGAGTGAGTGCTGACCATGAGCTAACGGGCATCCTCGGTACATTTGAGTCCCTCATTAGCCGGGT